AGGGATGACACTACTCATAATGGGCTGGGCCTGCCCGAATTGATCTCTAATTAAGAAAATGCCTTACAGGCTTGCCTATAGCCCAGTCTCATCAAGGCATTTATCGAGGCTCCCTCTCACCAGTGATGCTAGTTTGTGTCAAGTTGACATAAAAGTAGCTGGCACAGGGCTGGAGAGATGGCTCAGTGGTTAAGAGCACCGACTGCTCTTCCAGAGGTCCTGAGTTCAATTCCCAGTAACCACGTGGTGGCTCTCAACCATCTGTTATAAGATCTGGTGCCCTCTTCTGGTGTGCAGATATACATGGAAGCAGAATGTTGTATACATAATAAAAATAAATAAAATCTTTAAAAAAAAAAAGTAGCTGGCACAGCTATGCAGTGATTGCCAGGCCATCCTGGACTATACTGTAAAACCCTGTCTCAAGATAAAAAACCAAACCACCATCAATAAGATGGCTCTGTGGGTGAAAGAACTTGCCACATAGGCCTGGCAACTTGAGTTGGTGCCCTGAATTCATGTAAATTCAGGAAGGGAACCAGCTCCACAAAGATGTCATCTAGCCTCCACACCCAAACACAACCCCGTGTCTGTCTCTGTATCTGTCTCTGTCTCTGTCTCTCTCTCTCTTAAAAAAAAAAATAGAGGAAAAGGAAAAACTTTAACACGTAGGCAGAGGGTTTGATTTGATGAGTAAGCACAGTCTTTGAAGGGTCTTGAAAGTGAATCCCTGAAGGTTTGAGGGTGCAGTGTAGGACAGAGGGTTGGAAATGTGGACTAGGAAAGCAGCGCCGGGTTTATTATAGGACAATGCAGAAGGAATGAAAGGAGAAGCCCGCGTCACCTTTCTTCCCATTCTGCTTAGCTCCTGGTGGAAGGTCAGCCTGGCGGCTATCCCAGCTGCTAGAGTTTCCTGTGTGGGTCACATCTCCTTATGCATCAAGGCACCCATGGGGCTTTGTGGGGAGGGGGAGGACTTCAGTCTCTGGGGTCTCTTTTCAGTGAACTAGTGCGCTGGGTTAGGCAAGGAGCCTTCTTCTGCTTGTGTATTCTGACTGGGCAGGATCCAAAAGCAGCAGATCCAAGGAGAGGGTTTTTTTTTTTTTTTTTTTTTTTTTTTTATGTTGCAACGGAATTCCTTGCATAGCAGAAAGCTGAGGAAAGAGGGCCCGATTTGAGGACAAAGGTCAGGGCTTCAGAGTTCAGGGCCCATTTGGAAAGGGCCAGGCCCTCCTGTGCTAATCCCAGGTTTGCCTGACAAGCCTCGGAGTTGATGTATGTGGAATGGACTCCGTCATGACCAGTGATTTAATCTAATCCCGAAGCTCTGCCTTCTCCCACCTTGTAACCATCAGTCACAGAGGGGCTTTGACAGGAGAGGTAAGATTGACAGACATTCTCACGGCCCAGGACTGCTGGCGCTGGCTCTAGCCTGCTTTTCCCAGCAAGCCCTGCGGCTTCAGAGGACTGCCCTCCCTGGCAGGGAGCAAGGGACTGGGTGAGGCTTCTGAGCCTCCTGCTGGGAGCTGGCTGTGGTGGGAGGCTGGGAGAGCCTCCTACACCCTGACAGAATCAAGCCAGCGAGAACACCTGGCACCTTATTCGCGTGTACCCTGCATTCCAGTTCCTTGGGACCAGCCAACCCTTTCACTTAGGTCCAAAGAGGGCGAGACATCCCTATTCCCCAAAGCCGTTTTGGACTGCTTCTAGTAGGCGAAGGGGCAGGGCTGCACCCAAACTCCATCACCCAGTTTCCCAGCCGGTTCTGGAAAGGTTTCGTGCCTTACCTGGCTTGCACACAGTAGAAGAAGGGAGAAGAAGGCACTAGGCCTCCGAGTAGAGGCCTGCTCCTCATCCAGGCAGTTCCCCCTTTGCATGGTGACAGGCTCTTAGAGAAACATCTTATAAAAGTGTTCTAAGCAGCCTGGCAACCTTCCAACCTTCCTTGTACCAGAGACAAAAATGTTGGCCTGACAAAAATGTTTAGGTAATCTCCCAGCACGTTCACCACTTGTAGACCCCAAACTATACAAGCTGTGGAACTCTTGAGGAAAAAAAATAAAGCCCTTAAAAAATTGTGCAATGACCTTATTCCAGTGAACGCTGAAGTGAGTGAGGGCTGAAGTAGGCACTCTGTGATCTTTCTGTGTCAACGTGAGAATATTGTTTGTGGGCCAAGAGCCCCAGGAGGGATCATTTTAATGTGCTTTTTTTTTTCTTTTTATTTTATTATTTTGTGTGACAAAGTCCCATTACATAATCAAGGCTGTCCTTGAACTCCAGATCCTCCCGCCTTGGTCTCCTGAGTGCTAGGATTATAGGCATGAGCCAAGAAGCCCAGCCTAAAATTAAAAGGAGGAAAACAAGTTTAAAGGGTTAGTTTTTGTGTGAGCGGCATTAAAATTATTTATTTTTTGTGTGTGCATGTGGGCACATGCTTGTGGCTGGAGGCGACAGTCGACCTTGGGTGTTGTTCCTTAGGGACCATCCACTTTTAGTTTTGAGAGATTGTCCCTCATTGGCCTGGAGTTTGTGATTAAGCTGTCTCTGCCTCCCCAGCTCTGGGATTATGAGTGCAGGCCATCACAAACTAAGGTCCTCACGCCTGCTCGGTGTCTTGATCACTGCATTGTTGTGGAGAGACACCATGACCAAGACCACTTTTTATAAAAGAAAGCATTTAATTGGGGCTTGCTTCCGGTTTCAGAAATTTAGTTCATTATCATCATGGCAGGGTGCATGGCAGCACCCAGGCAGACATACTGCTGGAGAAGCAGCTGAGAGTTCTAGATCCAGATCTTCAGGCAGCAGAGAGAGAGAGAGAGAGAGAGAGAGAGAGAGAGAGAGAGAGAGAGAGAGACTGAGCCTGGATTGGGTTTTTGAAACCTCAAAGCCCACCCACACTGACACACTTCCTCCAAAGTGGCCACACCTACTCCATCAAGGCCACACCTCCTAATTCTTCTCAAGTAGTGCCACTTCCTGATGGCTAAGCATTCAAATATAAGCCTATGGGGGACATTTCTATTCAAACCACCACACCCAACAAGCACTTTTCCGATTGAGCCTTCTCCCTAACCTCATCCAAAGCCCACTCACCCTTTTTTGTACTGGTGTTTTATGTGTATTAGACAAGGGCTCTACTATTCAGCCCCAGCAAAAGCCACTTTCTATAAGTCGGGCATACTGTACACCTTTAATCCTAGCATTCAGGAGGTGGAGCAGTTGAATCTCTGAGAGCTCTGGTCAACCTGGTCTTCATAGGGAGTTCCAGGCCAGCCAGGGCTATATAGTGCAACTTTGTCTCAAAACAAAAACAAAAACAAAAAACCTCCCCCAAACTAAACTGAACTAAATTTAAAAAGTAGGAAGTGTAGATGGGATTTCTGTCTCGCCCAGTCCTCAGCTGCTCAGCCCCAAATAAGCGTGCAGAGGCTTATGCTAATTATAAACTGTTTGGCCTGTTGCTCAGGCTTATTACTAACAAACTCTTACAATTTAAATTAACCCAAAACTCTTGTCTGTGTTTAGCCACATAGCTTGGTACGTTTTCTCAGTAAGGCATTCTCATCTTGCTTCCTCTGCATCTGGCTGGTGACTGTGTCTCTGCCTTTCCTCTTCCCAGAATTCTCCTAGTCTGGTAGCCCGGCTATACTTCCCGCCTAGCTACTGGACAATCAGCATTTTATTAAACCAATAGGAGTGACAAATTTTTACAGTGTTCAAGAGCATTATCTCATAGCAGGGGAAGCTTGGGGTGTGTTCATGTCTAGCATGCCTGAGGCCCTGAGTTCATTCCCCAGTGCTTCAAAAAAAAAAAAAAAAAAAAAAAAAAAACAAAAAAATTAATTGATGTGACTCGGTTTTGGGGCTACATAGATATCCCAGTGACTAAGAGCACTGTTCTTACAGAGGACTGGCAGTCAGTTCTCAGCACCCCACACTGCTCCTAACAACTGTTTGTAACTCTAGTTCTAGAGATCCAACACCCTCTTCTGGCCTCTATAGGTATGTCAAGCCTATGGCATACATACATGTATATATGCAGACAAACCACTTGTACATGCTAATAGACAAACAAACAAACATAAATATTAAATAAAAAGCCATTTTCTTTCTCTTACCTCTTTTTTCTTGTTTTACTTTCCCTCTCTCCCTCCCCCTTCCATTCCTTCTCCCCTTAGTCTCTCTCTCTCTCTCTCTCTCTCTCTCTCTCTCTCTCTCTCCCCCTCCCCACCCCCAACCCCAGAGGTGGAACTTAAGGCCTGGCATGTACTAGGTAAGCACTCCATCACTAGGCTACACTGTAGCCCAAGATGTTGTTTTTCAACCCTGTTCTCTGGAGTATGTGGTTGAGTGAGCGAGAAATGATTAGCTTGGGTCCTGGGTTTGGTTGGTGGTGTGGCGGGGTGAGCACAGGTAGCTAGCAGGGAAAGGAAGGTCTGGTCTTACTGTGGGCAGAACTCAGGGGCTCAGGCCACCCTTGCAGGCCTTCAGGCTTGGCTGACAATAAGTGGGTGCTGGAAGGCAGCCTCCCAAATCCATGAGGAAAGGAAGATGGATGAAGAGAGAAGGAGACCACTATCTTCTCTTAAGATGACAGTGTCTCTGGAGAGGAATTCCTGTGAGAAGGGGCTTCCTGCATGGGTTGCTGATGTCTGAAGGCCTGGATTCAGAGCACCCTTACCCCCCACCCTCAGTAAAATGACAGGTTTCCCAGTGTACATTCCCATCACATACCAAGCATAGCCTTCTTTTTTCTTCAAATACATCAAAGTCTCTGGGCCTTTTTTTGAGTTAATCGTTGGCTAGGAATGCCTCAGGCCTCAGAGCCACCATCCGCAGCTCAGATAACCAAACCCTGGCTTCATTAGGTGTAAGCTCTCAGACTCCCTTTACTAGGCCCATGTATCTTCTCTGTCATGTCTAACAGTGTCTCCTCTCACCCCACTTTGTCAGGCTCTCCCCTCCCCAGCCTCTAAGATCAGGACCCTGCTTACCTGTGACCTGGTGTTTCTCTCTGGCAGGTAACTTTTCAGACACTTGAGATCAGGAGACAGGACATGCCTGCTGTCTGTGGGCACCAGGGCAGTTTCTGTGTGCTCTCACTTCAGTCCCCAGGACCCTGGCAAGTGTTCAGTGAGTGTCATGGGCTGACTGGGTGACAAACTCACCGTTTTCTTTAAAAGAGGCATCTTTTGAAAAATTATCTATTCGTTATTGTTACTGGTGTGTGTGTGTGTGTGTGTGTGTGTGTGTGTGTGTGTGTGTGTGTGTGTGACATGGTCTCACACAGCCCTGGCTGGTCTCTAGCTTGCTATGCAAGGATGACCTTGAACTTCAGAATATCCTGTTCCACCTCTCACTTCGTACTGGGTGCATGTTTGGTGCTGGGGATCAAAGCCAGGGCTTCATGCAGGCTAAATGGGCTCTACCTGAGCACACACACCCCTTTTAACCAAGTGTGCAGTGCTTTGGTTCAAATATACTCACATTCGCTGTCGCCACCATTCATCTCTGCAACCTTTTCCCCTTCTCCAGCTAAAACTTGGTCCCCATTAAACATCCCCGTTAACACTGCCTTCCCAATGCCCCTGCCTGAGCCCCTGCAACACCCTTCTGTCCCTACATAGCTAACTATCTGAGTAACCTCAGAAGGTGCACTCACAGTGTCTTTGCATCTGGTTTATATCACTGTCAGAGTATTTTAAACAAGGGCTTCTGGCCATCCTCATGCCAGGGTCTGGATCATTCTTCGAGAAATTATGGTAGCTGGTGGGAAGAGAGGGGGGGAAGTGTGGTCCTGGCGTAGGCATCAAGGGAGGGCTGAATTCATGTGGTTGGTGAGGGCTGGTGTGAGTCAGAGCAGTCAGGAGGAAGGCCAACAGCCACAGAGGCCCTGGGCTGGGTGGGGGAGGGGAGGCGGCTGGTTTTTGGTAGTTATTACTTAGTGGTGGTGGGGTTGACAGAGGCTTAAGAATTCCAGGTGGAGAGATCTCATGAATGGTGGCTCACAAGATGGGTGATGAAGAATCTAGAGGTGGAATGGGGTTTGTGGTACTCAGGGAGGGCAGTGGGTGAGAGCTACTTGGCACAACCAAAATGGAGGAGCCTAGAGAAAAGTGGTGGCTGGTTCCACTCTGGGCCTAGGGGAACAGAGTGACACTGTGGCTGGCCCAGGTGAATGGGGTTAGCATGTGCAGGGGAAAGCCTACAGGGGAAGTGTTTGAAAGTGGTTGGCTGTATTTCTTACTCTTCTCACTGCTGTGGCAAAATTTCCGACAAAACACATGGTGAAATAGGGGTGTTTTGGCTCACGGTTCTAGGGTTACATGATGGAGAAGTCATGGCAGCAGGAAGTCGAAACAGCTGGTCACATCACATCCATGATCAGCTAGTAGGGGCCCATGTCTGTAATTCCAGCATTTGAGAGGTTGAAATGGGGCTAGCATGAGATCCAGGTCAGTCAAGGGCTACAGGGTAAGACTCAGATAGATAGATAGGTAGATAGATAGATAGATAGATACATACATACATACATACATACATACATAGGCGGGCATGGGGGCACATATCTGTAATCAGAGCTTGGGGAGTTGGATGTAGGAGAACCAAGAATTTGAAGTCATCTTTGTGTGCATAGTGAGCTTTAGGCTAGCCCAGTCTACATGAGACCTTGTTTCAATAATAATAATAATAATAATAATAATAATAATAATAATAACAAAAAATGTGGAGAAGGTTCAGTGGGTTGGTCAGCTCTTGGCTCTTGTTTTTTTATTTTTATTTACTTTTCTTGAGACAAGGTTCCAATGTGTAAGCCCAGTCTATTCTCAGATATGTGATGCTTGTACCTTAACCCCCTAACTGGTGGAATTATGGGTGTCTGTGTGGATGCATGCCTATGTGTATGTAGCAGTGTGCATGCATCCATGCACCTGTGCTTATATAGCCACACACATATGCATGTGTTAACACTCATGTAAACATAGGTTTAGAAATGTATGTTTACTTGCATATGCATGTATGTGGATTATGTATATCCATGTCCATGTGCGTATGATAAGGGACTGCAGGAGGCTTGGATCCTACTTCAGCTGTCAGGGGTCAGAGCCAGCAACATCTGAGTTACTGTCAAAACGGCCTCAGACTCTGAGAGTGTCCAGGCAAATATAAGTTACATTTTTATTAGTAAAAAACGGTATTGCCTCTGTCGGTGAAAAATGACGATTTTCTCTTTGTTAAGAGGTTAGGTAGAAGATGCTTTCTTAACTTTATGAGGTCTTGTGGGTGTGGAGACAGATCTGGATTTGCTTAATGTCTCCCCTTCCCCAAAGGGGAGGCTTGGAGGATAGGCAGGTGGGACTGTTTCAGGCTCTCAGACTCCTCTGTTACTGCAGACACGATGTCCTTCCTTGTCCCCACTGCATCCTGCCTCAGTGTCCCCAGCATGCTGTTCACACTAGGGTTCCCTCTCCCCATTGTCTTGGCTTTCTTTTCTTGGGCAGTGGTTCTCAGTCAGGGGTGCTAACCCGATAACGGCTGAATACACTTGTCACAACGAGGGGACTTCTACTGCCATCTAGTATTCGGTGGTAGGATTGCTACTAATTAGCCTGCAATGCAGAGCAGACTCCTGCAAGACACAAGAAAGAAGTGTCCCATCTACAGTGATAAAACTGCTGTTGCTTGGGCTGCTGAAATGGCTCAGTGGGTAGAGGTGCTTGCTGCTAAGTCTAATGATCAGAGTTTACCAGAACTCACATGGTTGGAAGAGAGAAATGACTCCACACGTGAACTGTGGTGTGCTCTCTCTCTGCTGAGATACTTGGGAGATACTGGGTTTAGAGTTGTTTCAGCCAGAAGGATTCCTCTGGACACTGCCAGCCCCCCGTGGTACCTGGTGCTGTCACTGTTTTCATCTCTGTAGCTAAGCCAGCTGAAGCTCCCCCTGTAGGAGTCCCTCTCTAAATCGTCTCTGACATTCTTTCAATCTGCAGGGTTGGCCACTGAGGTGAAGTACCTGGGCTCCCCTGCAAGGAAGGTTGTGTTGAGAGGAGCTCCAGTAGGCATCATATCTGCACTGCTTGATACTTGTTCCCTTGGGGTTTACCAGCTGGGCAAGCACTGGGCTATTGTGAACAACTGAACAGTTCTTCTCTTTAGAAGTGTTTGCTGTTTTTTTCTCTGCAAGAAAACAAGGGGAGAGGGATGAAGATTAACCTAAGGTAAAGCATCATTCAGACTCTGCTCCTGCAGCACTGTGTGAGCATCTGGGGTCCTAGTCAGCAAACAAGCCTCACTCTGTGGCATGGCTGAGCATCAGGACCATGAGATGTGAGGCTCTAACTCTGGTGGTTTTGGTAGCAAGGACCCCTGGGGTGTTTTTCTTTTCTTTTTATTGTTCTCTCTCTCTCTCTCTCTCTCTCTTTTTTTTTTTTTAAGAAGGATATCACTCCACCTAGGGCTATCTTGGGTGAGCCTTCAGGCCTGGCTTGCTCTTTGGTTTATGTTAGAACACACAGGCTTGGGCAGAATGTGCTTGCTGCTCACCCGTCTTTTCCACATTATGAACTAAAACAGTTGTCACCTTCCTTTTCCTTTCAAGCCTTCAAGTACAGTGTGTGTACACTCTCAACTGTAGCATGGTTCCATGAATATAATTAATCCTGATATAATTACAACTAACATAATTGTCTCCGGTGCTTCTAAGGGACAGGGACCAGTCTTCATGACTCATCTTTGAGTCCTTGTCTCTGAAACCTTTCAAGTGTTAAATGAGCCTGATGGGAGATAAGGCTGAAGGAAGTGCTTTTTAAACTGAAGTTCAAAGAAGCAAAATGGCAAACCTGAGCCACTGAATACCCTCTGAGGAAAGGTACTGCTAGGGAGTTGTGTTTCAGAACATTTGTTTAACTATGTAAAGATGTGTTGCATTTGGTTTAACTATGTAAAGATGTGTAGCATTGGTTTAACTATGTAAAGATCTGTTGCATTTGTTAAATTATGTAAAGATACGTTGCTGTTTCACCTTGCCTAAGGCACCTGATTGGTCTAAAAAAAGCTGAATGGCCAAAGTGAGGGAGGAGGTATAGCTGGAACTTCCAGGCAGAGAGAGTAGGTAGAAGGAGGAATTTAGGTTTTAGGAGAAAGAAAAGGAGATGTCAGAGGCCAGCCAGCTAGACACAGAGGAAGCAGGAAAGTAGGACATACAGAAAGGAAGAAAGAAAGAAAGAAAGAAAGAAAGAAAGAAAGAAAGAAAGAAAGGTAAAAGCCCTGAAGCAAAACATAGAGGAATAAAATCAGGTTAAAATTAAGTTAAAAAAGCTAGTAGGACAAGCATAAACTAGGGCCAAGCATTCATAATTAATAGCAAGTCTCCATGTCTTAATTTGGGAGCTGGTTGGTGATGGGGAATATACTGTGTATGTTTATCTTATTGAATGTTAAATAAAATACTGTTTGGCCAATGAGACAGCAGTTAGACGGGACTAGGAGTCAAAGAGGATTCTGGGAAATGTAGTAGAAAAGTGCTGATCCAGGCAGGAAGTGACATAGCAAGGAGATTCATATTTAATCGAAAGAGAAACAGGAAGGGTCTCTCTTTTCCCCTCTGCTCCTGCTCCAGCGGCACAATGTGATCCACAGCAAGGAGGATCACAATAAGGCGTCTGATAAGTCTTATAACATATGTAGATTTATGATAGTTAAGACTGAACAAACAGATGAGAATCCTAGTCATTGGCCAAGCAGCTTTGTACCTAATACAAGTTTCTATGTATTCATTTGGGCCCTAACTCGGGCAGGCGGCTGGCATAAAGCGTACACCAACTTTATGGTGGTGGGGCTCAGCGACATTTGGCAGAAAGATTTATTGTAACAGGTTGGTGGCCCAAAAGGTTGTAGCAGGGGATTCTGGCAACTACTCGTCTTTCCTTTCCAAGAAAATCATGGCTTCTAGTGTGATTTCCTCAGTGTTGGCAGACTCGACCACCTCAAAATATGTGTTTGGAATCTGTGGTAGAGACTAGATGTTGAGAATTTAAGCCATCTTAGTCTGTTTGTCTCTTTCTCTGGCTTCATCCTGTATTTCCCTTACTCTGCTTTCTTCTGTCCTCCACCACATGGTCCTGGTGCCATGATGTTCTGTCCAAGGACATGGAGCTAAGTACCCTTGGATTGACTTCTCTGAAACTTGTAGCCCAAATAAATCTTTTCTTGGTTACATTGTATTTGGGTCCAGTAATGACAAAGATTTTCTTGGGGGGAAAAGAATGGAGGCCTTTGGAGAAGCAGAGATTCATTGAGGACAGATAAATCAGCTGAAAAATGCCAGGAAATGGAGAAGAGAGAGCTGGGGCTAGGGAAATATTTTTTGCTTGGTTATTTTTATTTTTATTCATGTGTATGTGCATATCTCTCTGTCTATGTGTGGGTATCTGTGGAGGTCATAAGAGGAAGAGTCAGGGCTCCTGGAGCTGTAGTTAAGGCAGTTGTGAGCCATCTGAGGTGGGTGCTGGGAACTGAACTGGGGTCCATTGGAAGAGCAGCAAGTGCTGTTAATGGTTAAGCCATCTTGGCAGCCCCTGGGAAATACTATTTTTTAACTCTCTAAGATGGCAGATATTGAAACTTGTGGCCTGGTAGGGACAATGATTCAGTAGAGACAGGGGGATGGAAGAGGCAGCAGACAGGAAGGTGCAGGATGAAGCCCTTGCATTAGGAGAGGGAAGGAAGGGGGTTCTTTTGTACCCTGTGTTAATTCCTGCTACAGTGGCCAGTCTGCCTCAACTGTCCCTGTGTTGCAATGCATCCCTTAAAAGTGC